TATTTATTACCAATAGCGTCCCATTAGGGACAAAAAATAAATATAAGAATTTATTCTATATTTTAAAGCTTTGGTTTTTTTTTTTTTAAAGCCAGTCAGTTGATGGGAAGTAAAAGGGGACGAATCATTTCCTGACTCCCCGAGTCGTCATATTTTGCATGCATTTTATTTTAAATCTAATATAGTCAATTTTTTTCACTTTTCTTTGAGTTCATTTGGGCAGAACCTTTTTCCATGCTTTTATGTATTAGTTATTGCCTGGATGATTGTGGGTCACTGTACATTTCAAGGCTTCCCTCCCACTTTTAAGAAAGAGAAGGTAGAGAGCAGGAAAAGAGTAGATAAATGTTCCTGCCTTGGTGGTTTAAAGTGGTCTATAATATTTTTAGAAGCTTGTTCTTATGGGTTTATCTGCAGAACTAGCTTACTTTATTGGGTCATGTTGCTACTTAATCAGGTCTGTCAATGAGATGCCTATTCTGCTTATTGCTTTTGTTGTATCCCTTCTGCATAGCATGCACTTCACAGTACGTTTCCTTCATATAGCACAAAAGTTTTCATGTGTGGAAGTATAATATTAACCATCCAGGAAAATGGAGAAAGCCTAGAACTTTTCTAAAAACTTAGAGGTCTTAGTGGTTTACAATTTTTTTGGAAGAGAGAAGCACCAGGCTGTCCTTTATCACCCTGGTTAATTAAAACAGCCTTCTTTTTATTAAACTGAGGACTCTTTCTTAGACGAGGAGTTGTATTACATTTCAAAATGATAGCTTTTTCCAACATCACAAGGTCTCTTTTCTTTTCCTGCATGTATATTTCTTTCTCCTCCCTTTTTCATATAAGCTGAACTGTGAATTGAAAACACACCTTAACTACCATGAAAGCAAACTCTAATCTTAGTAATTACGGGCTTTTTTGTGTTGATGTCTTTCTGCTTAAATAGTCTTCTTATGCTAGTTGGGACTTTAAGGGGATGGTAAAGGGGTTATTGTTTCTTTGATGACTGAGCGGGGGCAGGAGAAATGTTATGGCTTGGACAGTGACTGACTTCTTGGTTCAATTGTCTCTAGTTTAATGCCTCGGGCTGTGGATCTGTGAAGTTCTGTATAAGGAATCCTACAAACTGCAATCCTGAGGCTGCCAACTGTTTCTTTCTGTCCTTCAAACCAGATGGTCATTCAGTTATTATAGAAATGAGTGGCCCTAGTGAAGGGTATCTAGCATTTGCACTATCTCATGACCAGTGGATGGTGAGTATTTCTTACCTTGTGGCTTTAACTTTGGTAGATTTATAGCTTTGAAAAAATTCCATAAGGAGTCTTCTGACCAAAATCTGGATGGTGCTGGAAGATGTAGCAGTGGCTCTTTCCACAAATAAAAATAATCCCTTGTAAGAAGGGTGAATGGAGAAGGCATTTCATAGCAGTTAAAAAACCTTTCTGACCAAACTTACTGTGAACATTCCCTCCCTAGTCTCCATGGGTGCTTATACATACCATGGGTTTTAATGCTCATTTAAATAGGTTTATAAAATTTAAACTTGTTTATTTTGGAGTGTTGCATCTGTGTTTTAGTTGCACTAGATTTTCAAATGAATTAAGTTGGCCCCTTGGCTGGTGCTGCAGGAGAGTTGGACAGTCCAGAACTGCCCCTCTGGCCTGCCCCCCCCCCCCTCCATGCCTATGGCCTGCCATGCAGCTGTGGTAGCAGGGAGCTGTTAAACAAAAAAATAAGAATAAAAAGAAATAAAAAGCCACAGAAGGGGGTGGTGAAATGTGGAAACAATTTGAAAGCGAAAGCAATGGGAGGAACTACAAAAGTTGCAGTGCCATCTGGTGGCCAGAGAGACTCATTATACATCTTTGAGTTCCTTTGTATTTTGCACGCAATGAAACCATGGATATGTTGCTTTAATTGTCGGCGAGCCAAACTAAACTACTCTTGAGGAGTTTTAGTTTAATGCACAAGAAAGATTTTTAATGCGTTGGGAAATCCTGCTTGTGTAAACAGACACCTAGTTGCAGCGTGTGAAAAGGCAAAAATTGTGGTGTGTCCATGAGCTGCCTGTGGGTATCTGCGTTTTTTAAAGTCAAATTCCAGATTTCAGAATTCACTGTAATTAAAGTAAACTGCTTAATAGCAATTAGTTTGTAATAAAAAATAACTGATCATAGTAAAAATCTGCTAGCACCTGTGCACCACACTTTTTGTCAAATTAAGTTTTGTATTTTAGTGGTGGATGGGGCCCTTTCTTATACAAATAGATTTTAATATTTTTTTAATAGCTAATACTTGAACTTGTTAACAAACTGGATTACACTTTGTAGATGACTTGCAATTCTTTACAATACAATGTGGCCAATTTTGCAATTTTAGTCATGGCACTGTAAATCTGTATTCATGTCCATAGTATAGCATGGAAAAAGAGGCATCCACAGATGAGTTCCTAAGTCCCTTTTGTAGGGGAAGACAAACTGGTTTTGTATGCAACTGCGCGCGCGCGCGTGTGTGTGTGTGTGCGTGCGTGCGCGTGCGCATGCACACACACGAAAACCTCTCTTTTTCCCCTCAGGGTGATGATGATGCATACTTGTGTGTTAGTGAAGATCACCATATCAACATCAATGCTGCCTTCCTGAGAGGACGGTCTTCTCCTGTGTTGGACTCTGAGGTTTGGTGCAAGGGTTCTGGAGTAACTTTCCCATGCACAGTGTTAAATTTAGTGATCACATCTTTGTTTTACACAATAGCTCTGAGCAAAGCCAATAAGACAGTTGTAACCAGTAAAGGCCACAAATGCTAAGAAACTTTTCTTTCCTCCTCACACTGCATGACCTTCAAAATGATGCCCTTTCTGTTACAAAAGGGGTCAAGGGATGTTTGTATGAGACCTGATATTGGCTTCCAGGTTACTTCTCTTTTAGAATTTGCATGGTAGCATCCCTTCATACCAAGGAGGTTGACCACTATGGGCCCCTGTATTCTGAGGCAGGACTGTCCAACTGGTGGCCTGTGGGCAGCATCTGGCCTGCAAGAGGTTCAAGTGTGGTCTGTGGTTCCTGCATGGCTGCCACTCCCCTTCTCCCACATTGTTCCTGCTGCTGCAGCAGCAGGTGCAGTCTCTGGGGAAGAGCAGTCTAGTGGCAGGAGGCCTTGTAGGCTTGCTATGTTAATGGCAGAGGGAGTTGGGGGGCTTTGTGCTGTTTGCACAGCAGTGCCAGTGGGATAGCTTGTGCAGCAGTTTTGGGGGGATGTGGGACCAATGAACACTAATGACCACCATTTTGTGTGTCTGTGTGTTGTAGAATACCCTTGAAGATATATCATGGAGGCTGGCTGATGGTGTTCTTCAGTGTTCCTTCAGAAGAAAAATCCATCTCTCTGATAATCAAAGGAGGTATAATCTGGATGCTAATTATTACATATTTTTCGCAGATGGAGAAGTTGGTGAAGGTAAGTGCCTGACTTGATGAGGCTGAGTATTCACATATCTCAAGTAACTCTAAATAAGGACTGCTATGTACATGGCTTATTAAAATTAATACAGTAACAAATCTGATCTTCTTATACTAAAACTTTATAGCAGTAATCTTAAGACTGACCATGAACTCATCTTTGGAGATGAACATAACATAAATTTAGTTTATTATTAAAAGAACTGTCCCATACCCACCAAGTGCTTGGAGCAGTATCCTTCTGAGAGACTTTTATGAATCATATTGAACTAGTCAGTGTTTATAACATTATTTAGAAGCTATTCTTTAAAACACTTTTATTATGGGAGAGTGCTAATCTACTACATAATCTATAGAGGTTTTTGTGTTTTGGATCTGGTGTGGCATATGGGAAGGACTTGGCCATGTCTCTGGGTGGTAGATATGGCACTTGTCTTATACAACTTGCATTCTAAATGTTTACAAACAAGATTGCTTTTGTCACTGTCAACTAAATTACTCTCTCTTCTTGTAGGAGGTCCAATTTACAAACATCAGCGTCAGCCTCTCATTAGCAATGGAATGTGCAATGTCACAGGCCCTCCAAAGGACTTGGGGGGATCTCGTTCTCCACAGCTTATTAAAATCCATGGTAAAAAATAGTTTTGTTCTTCAATCAGTGGACTTGCCCAGTGTTGAAGGGATGGTGTTTGTTGCAGGAGTAAAAATATTTTTATTCCTCTTATCTATGATTTGGCAATCTACATTTTAAATTGTCTTTTGCTCTGATGAAGTTCTCTCTTTGTAAAACAGGTACCACAGAGACTCATATTGAGCAAAGTGGCTCTTAACCGCCAGTGGATGAGTTGGGTTTTTCTTTTTTTCCTCCTCCACTTACAGTGAGCTCTGAACCAGGTTCATAAAGAACTGAATGAAAATTCCTTTCATTTTGTCAGTAGGGAAATGAAATTTTGGCAGCAAACACCAGAAAACCCAGTCAGTACAGGAAACATAGACTTTCTTGACTGACTATAGCAAAACTTACTCCAGACAATGTGGCAGGAAGTCAAGGCATTGCAGACCTGACATGAATTGGGAGTGAGATGTATATCTTTGTCCATGCACTCCTGCCTCAGCTAGCACTGGTGTCTCTTGCCCTCTGAAAAGTTAAGTTCTATTATTAATCACTTGGTGTCAGGTAGGAAATCAAGGTGTTGCACTGGGTCAATTTTGCCAATATGCACATACACCGCTTTGTGGGTTTAAACTGGTAGGATTTTACTCTCTACTCTTGCATTCTCCTAATGCTAATTTGTGAAACACGTTCCCTGTTATGTTTTGTTCTGTGTTCATGTCCAATCGTGGAAACAAAGTTTTTTAATATTTGGATCTTTCTTTCATCCTTCCTCAGGTGCACTAATGTTCGTAGCATGGATGACTACAGTTAGCATTGGTGTTATTGTAGCACGATTTTTCAAACCAGTCTGGCCTCATTCCTTGTTGTTTGGAAAGGAGATTTGGTTCCAGGTGGGCAAAGAGATGTAACTGTGTTCTATTTGAAATAACATTTAACAAGAGACTAAGATTTTAATTTTAAAGAGATGGCAAATTACATTTCTTATTTTTTTTTCGGTCCTACTAGTTGTTATAAATTGAAATGCAATTTGGTTGGATTTGCAACAGAAGATAAACTCAAAACTGTGTAATTGTCTAATTTTTAAAATAGAATTTGCCTTGTACTACCAAACTCATGTCGCTTTCAATAATTTCTTCATAACACTTAAGTTCAGGTTCCCTTTAAACCACCCCCCCAACCTACTTAATTACAGGTGCATCGTACGCTAATGTTGACCACGGTGGCTCTTACAAGCATTGCTTTCATTCTGCCTTTTATATACCGAGGAGGCTGGAGTTATGTAAGTAAAACTTTCTGATTTTAGTTTATCAGCAGGGATCCTGTTTTTTGTTTTGTTTTGTTTTTTCAAATCAGAGAGAAGTAAACCCAAATCCACATTTTTCCCATGATTAAAATGAAACATTACTATTATGTAGATATATGCACAGTGGTGTTTCATTTTAATTATGGAAAAATGTGATTTGAGGCTACTTTTTTTAAACAGAAAATGGGGGATCTTTTTTTTTTTTTAATTGGAGAAAACCAGGATCCCTGATGATGATGCACTAGAATGGTGGTCAGAACTATGTGTCTGTATGACCACTTCTGACCTCTGTGCCATGTATGTACACCAAAAGTGAATTGCACTAGGGTTAGTGAGCATCTTCCATACTGTTAGGTTTGAAATTGGGGCTTTTTAGATGTCCCGTTTGGCTAGGGACAGATATTCAAAAAGCCTGAGCCTGACTTGATTCAGTCTCTGCAGGTTATATAACCTGGCTAGGCTGAACCAGAGGGGAATACAGACATCCCCTCTGGACTGAGAAAATGCAGGCACATGCCTGCAGTGGCTCAGGCTAGAAGCCGGTGGGGGGGGTGCTAGAGCAACCCTTCCTTCCCTTCCATGGTGCTGAGCTGAGGGGAAACCTGGCCAGGCTCCAGCAGGACACTCTGATAAGGGAGGGTTTCCCCCTGCTGCTCCTGACTAGTCCAGCAGGAAGTTGATAACAGCATTTATCAGCCCATCAAAAGACAAAAGCCTCTCTCATTAGTTCAAACTCTTTTTTTTTTTTTTTTTTTTAAATGACTTTTTCCAAGGTAGGAACAGAGGACATTACCAGCTGACCTGTTGATTAGCTTCAAAAAGCCCTAAGTGGACACTGTCCTGTCTGCCTTACACAGACACATCTCAATATTAGCTAGCATATCAGATGCTGGCTACGGTCCGTGCCTTGGGAGGGGGAATCCCTGCTCAAGTAGGGAGTGGTGGAGGAGAGGGGTGGAGCTGGAGGAAGCCAGGCAGATGCTGCTGTGCCTGCAGTCTCTGCCAGAGCTCCAGCCAGGGAGCAGAGGGGTGGGGCTAGCCCTGTTGTGGAGCAGAGAGCCCTGCCCAAGGCTGTAAAGCATCTGGGATGCTGGGGGACTCTGGTTTAAGTTAAACTAGGAAGGGGTTTTGGGCAGACTTTGCATACATCAGTTTGACCCAAATCAGTTAAGTCTACATTCAACCAGGTTTATCTCAAACAGGTTTCAGCCATGTTCAAACTGGTTTATGTGCACTGAAAATCTGTTCTGTTACAGGTTTAAATCAGTTTCTGATCACTTAAACAGGTCTTTATGTAATGTCTGTCCCTAGCCTTTAAAATATAAGGAGTAAATCCTGTGTTTTTAATGTCCGCATTCTTCTCATTTAGAAAGAATGTCTGTGATAATAGTGGTGGGTTTTTGAGCAATCCTTTAATGATGACTCCTTCAAAAATCTTTCAGTTTTTTTTTCTCTGTATGTGAAATCTTTATTCTACCTTCCAAAAACAGTTAGAAATTAGATTTAACTTGTTAAATTTGTAGATCTATTGCCTCCATGTCACCTTTTCTTTTTGCCCCATCTGCCAGTTCTCCTCAGGTGGGACTGTATAGTTCTCACCTTCTGCCCCAGTCTGACACTTTACCATTGAATGCTTTAGAAATGTATCACAATGCTTTATCTGAATATGAATTTCATTACTGTATCCATTACTCAGTTATATTTCCCTTTTTCATATTCCTCTCAAATTGCCCTGTAAACAAATAAAACACTAATCAATTTTAGGTGAATCTAAAACAGTAAATATTCTCAATGTTTTATCATGAGATGGTTTAAAATGAAAAATGTCCATTTGTTCAGAAAGCAGGTT